ATTGTTTCTATAGCGTAAAAAATAATATTTAATTAAGGATTATTGTCGGTTCCAATTACTTTTTACTTTAAAACTTTATTTTTCCAAAACTATGTGGTTTTTGTTGTATTTCATTTGTAAATACTTTCATAAAATTTGTAAGTAATTCAATGTACTCAAAAATATTACTAATTTATATAAAAAAAAATGTGCTAATTAATTTTTCTGTGTCCATTCATCCATCTATTTTCAAAACTTCTGCATTCTTTTAGGTAAAAAGTAAAATTTTATACTCAAATAATTTATCACTTCCAAAAAATCTATACATACCCAAACTTCTAAAGATTTGGTCCCTGAAAATCGTAAGTACACAAGTATTTTTGCAAGTTTTATGGAATTTATATCAACTTGTCTAAAAATTTGTATGCAAACAAGGTTTTAATCCTATGCAACCTCACAAAAATAGAAATTTCCTTTTTCAACCGTAAATAGTTTAAGTAAGCGCTATATTGCCGGAATTATTATATGAAATTGAGTGTTACTTTGAATTCATATTTGTCAAATTTTAAATTTTACCAACTCTTAAATTTTTAAATTGCTGGGCGTTAATTATTATATTATTTCAATTCAATATTTCAGGTTTTTTCAGGACATTGGGAGATACAATTTTTGAAATTATAAGATATGATATAATTCATCGAACTTCTATAAAATCAAGGAAGTAAAGGTAAATATTTTGTTAACAGAAATTATATTACCTATTTTACATTATTGCCTCTTATAATTTTTATTCCTCCCCTCAATGTATGCAATATGAAAATGCATAATATAAATTGAGTAATGCATATCGAGTTTTCGGTGGAAACGCACTTCTCCGTGGTAAGTCGGTTTTTGTGTGCACGCGCGTATCTCAAGTTCGGCTGAATCGAATTGATCAACTTTTGGGATATGTTAGAACTCGGAGACTGGACTTTTTTCGGGAATGATTTTACATTTTTTCATGTATACAGAAGATATTAAAACAATAAATATTCAAACAATTTCTTTGAAATACTCCAAATTTAGATGTTAAATGAACAATAAACCTATAAATTTTTTGAAAAGATGAGAAACTCGGAAACCGAATTGGCGGCCGATTTTACATTTTTCACTATATCTACGGAACTAGTTGACCGAATATCTTGAGATTTAATATTCCTAATAATAATTTCGGTAGTAAGTTACCGAAATTAACTTTTCAGAGAAAGTGCCACATAGGTGTGAAGAGTGGCTTTGAGTGGCTCTAGGTACGATAACTAAAAGCTTACTTAAAACTTCCGTAAAATTGAAAAGAAGTGGTCAAGAAAAATTTTCATAATGTTCTGTAATATTTTCGCTGAACAACACAATACACATTGCGGTCGGCTATATGCTGATCACAGCAAATTTTTTTAATTGTTTAAGGAAAATGTGCTCCTTTACGAGCCTTTTTAATTTGATTTAAGTACAATTAATGAAATTCTTAATTCATTACTACCCATTAAAGGTTAAAATTTTAAACAATAAAATATAAAATATATTTGATGGCTCCATAGAGAGAAAATAAAAATTTATAATTTATAATACTGTAACCTACGAAGAACCAAGATCGCGAGAAAATAATATTACAATGAATACACACGCAAAAAAAAAAAATGATAAAGACCCTAACCTAAACTTTGAGTTTTATAATGCGGTAGTGTGAATAGGCCCTTTTAGACATGCAAAACAGTTGAGAATTAGAAAAAATGATTTGTTTCTCATTTCATTTATAATCTGCTATACCTTTATTTTAAGGGAATAACGCGTTAAATCTTGAATTTAAATGCCAACAATTTTTAATTTATTTAAAAATTAAAATGAAAGAAAAGGAGTACAGTGCACGCGTTTTCATTTTTGGTTTTTCTCTTAAATTCCACTGTCTTGCATCATATTTTATTTGTTTTACTTTTTTTTGTAACTGATTAAGATCATGCAGTTCACAAAATAATTGTGTGCAAAATGTTATTAAGTTTTTTGATTTGATTTTTTAAAATTGAATAAAATGTAATAAAATCAAATAAAGTAGAAATAAAAAAAAAGATGAAAGTGTGAGAGTTTTCTTCGGTTTTGTTGTATTTAATAATTATTTTTTTTTTTTATTGCAGAATAAATTAAAAATTAAATAATTTTGCGAGAAAATTTTTCACGGTGTCATTGATACTAGCTATAAAGAAAATAAAAGTAAAAGGAAAACTTTTTATTTTATTGTTGAAAATAAAAAATTGAAAAATTTTATCAGATAATGTGGCTAAGATGGTTTTGAAAATTGGGGGACAAAATTACTCTAAACAAAATTAAATTAATGTGCTCTGTGTTTGTCCAGCAATCGCTTTAAGGATCATATACAATTACAATTAAAAAGTTGAAAAAATTATTTGATTTTTAAAATATTTTCACTTTTGAGATCGAATTCTTAAAATTTTTTAATTGTCATGAAATTGTTGTATATTTCATGAAATTCGATAATGGTTTTTATTAAAATATCAAATAGACCGTAGAATATATCATTGAATTCTACAAACTTGAAATTAAACATAAAACAAGACCTTTTCAAATTATTTTTCCTTTACTACAAAACTTGTACTACATTCAGTTTAATTCTTTAATTCATTTGAACTTAAATGAATTTAAGAATTAAACTGAATGTGTAGCATGAATCACACTTTGTCTAACTCATAGAAAACTCATAGAAATTTCATGCGAAAGTAATTACAGAATACCCTGAAAGTCCGAATTTTTTGCAATTTCATAGCCACATATATACAATACTTATAATACTATAAAGGATCCCTACTATCCAGCGGAATTACAAGTAGTTTGTAATTATAACACTTAATTTTTACGAGAATTTCGTCCTATAGCAGTAAAACATACCTATATAAATTATAAACCTATGAATATCTCAAATTTGAAATTTATTTTCGATGAACGTAGACGCTTCTTTTTTTGGAGTTAGAACTATTACAGGCTAAGAAAAGGTTTGAACAGCTTAAAGGGGCAAATTCATTATATTGTCTTAATTGAATTTCCTGTCATGGATATGCTTAAGTGGCCCCCGAAGGATACACTTAGGCCACTTACGCCCATTATGGTATGATAAATATTTTGTACACAACAATTAAAAATTTAAAATTATTAAAAAAAAGAAATTTTCAAAAGTGTCTGTGAATGTTTCGGTTATATCAAATTAAAAATACTTTAATCACAAGCTTAATTTCACAAAATCTTGAAATTAAACTCGAAATCTAATAAATTTTCATCTCTAATTTATTGATAAAAAACTAACTTAACTTTAATTTCACTTTAAGGAAAATTATGCACCCTATAAGAAATTTCCCTTTCAACTAAATTTTTATGAGAGATAAGCCATAAGATTAATGAACAATTTGAAACTGAATAATTTTTTCTCTATAGGATATTCTGCTTAGTTTCTCGTTTTTTCTTTTACAATTACTATTATTTAATAAAATCTTCTTAAAATTTTGGTAATTATTGTGAATGGCATTATTCATTCATCTTATCAATAAATCCAATCTTCTTAAGAAAAAAAAAAAACAGTAAAACAAAAATTATTGTTAATCATTTTAAAGGAGGAAATTTTAAATTTCATTTATAAAAACAGAGACGAAAAAGTAGACATTTTAATTACAGTAATTGTACAGTAATTTTTTCTTTCGTGTAATTATTCGGATTTTGTGTATAAGCACCGAGTGAACTTAAAATTAATTTTTTTCATAATATTACGATATTTCCTGTATAATCACAAATTAAAATATCAAAAAATTTAAATAAAAGAAACAGACATAAAATAATAATTTTCAAAATGGAAATAAAATTTAAATAACACCTATACCTAAGAGTAAGATGGACTGAAATCAGGTGATTATTATTTGATCATTAAATTTGGTAATAAAATTAAGAGATTTATTTCTGTCAATTATTTTCTATTAAAATCATATTTATTGTCAACTTATATAGAAATTTGTTGTTGATTATTACAATCAACTGAACTGCATTATACATATTTGCTACACAGGGTGTTTTTTTTTTTAAGTTAGATAAAACATTAGGAATGATGGATGATGTAAAACTAGCTAATCTAGTGTGGTCAGTTTTTGGAATTAATGATTTACTCAGATAAAACGTCATTATCAAATCGTAATACTTGAGCAACATTTCCGAAAATTTACCTTCAAGTTTTTGTGGTCCATTCACGAAATTTGTAAGTTTTCCAACAAGTTTGTAAGTTGCTAAAATTACCGAATAATTGAGTGAGCCCAATCAATAACAAAATTAACATATTGCTTTGTTTTCTAAAATATGCACTACTTAGTGTGCACTTTATAAACTTATGGAATAATTACACGTTATTCTAATAAGAATTAAGTAATAAGGTCAATGACTCAATGAAGGTCGATACTTTTTCATAATAAATCATTGTTTGTTTTAAAATGTAAATGACATAAATTTCGGGAAAATATAAGGATTTCAACAAAATAGTGGTACGATAGCCATAAAATAAAATCACCTAACAAACAATTTCGGAAAACAAACTTCTCAATTGGACTTCAATATCATTAAATTTGACGAATTTAGATTATTTTTTAAGAAGCAACTTAAAGAGAAGTTATATTGATGCACCAGCGGCGTTTGAATGCTCAGTAGAAACCTCTGTACATTGCACCTATTATTATTGTTTATAAAAAATGGCAAGTAGCTTTCAAAAGGACGTTTGCCCTTTTGCCAAAAGAGATCGGGATTGCATTTATTAATTTAACCATAAATAAAAAAAATTTAAACAAAATCCCAATCTATATGGGACTTGAAAAACACCCTATTCATTAACATATACATTCATAATATAAACTATGCAAATGCAAAAACTATTGTGTATAATTGGGTAATTTACATATAAAAAAAGAGAGACAACAAAATAAAAAATAATTTTTTATAATAATTACCTTCTTGGTTTTGGTCTAACAATTTCATGTGTTGCATCTGTTATACATAATGGACTTAAAGCACCAGCTAAATGTTCAACACCTAATTGATGTCCTGATGATGATGTTTCCCAACTATTATGATGCTGTTGTTGCTGCTGTTGTTGTTGCTGTCTATTACTATTATTATTACTATTACTGCTACTATTAATACTTATATTATTTGTTGTAATTTTATGATTAACATTATTATTACTAATATTTAAATGGCCACCATTTAAAATAATATTTCCATTTATTGATGATGTTATACAACCAGCTGATGATCCTGATACTGATATTGATGCCGATGATGACGATGCTGACGAAGATGATGACGATGATGATGATGATAATGTAGAAGATGATGGAGATAATAAATTTGATGGCGATAATATTTTTGATGATGAAGTAATAATAGTTGGTGTTGCTGTTACAATACTTGTATTATTACTATTATTATTATTATTATTATTACTGTTATGATTGTTATTATTTATATTACAATTATATTTATTATTGCTATTATTTATTGTTATAGGAAGAATTTTATTTGTTGTATAAGGATAAGAATTTGATGTACGATTTGATATTAAACCATTTGTTGTTGCTGTTGTTGTTACTGACGACGATGACGTTATTATATTCTTATTATCTAAAGAATCTCTATTTGATGGTATTACTTTTGTAATGTTTTTCATATTATAATCATTATTATTTTGATTATTTTTATTATTACTATTATTGTTATTAGCACCTGCAGTAATATTATTTGTTATTCTATAATTATTATTATTGCTAGATGATAATATTGCAGCTGAAGTTATAGCAGATGATGATGCAGATGATAATAATTTTGTAGATGATGATGATGATGAAGTTGAAGATGATGGTGATGATGTTGTTGAAATTGATATATTCGACATTGATAATTATGTAATGCCTATATATTTTATAATGGTTAATAAAAATTTAATGACTGTATTTGTTGTAACAAATACGATAGTTATAAATGCCGTAACAATACTGATAATTATAAAGTTGAAAGTAATTGTAATTTTTCATCTTGCTTCCTTTACATCAACAACAATAAGATTTTTTTTTTAATGAGCATGAGGAAATTTTTCTAGAAAATTGTTTCATTTGACAAGACAGATATTTGAAGTATCTATTCTTTTCTTAAAGTTTTACCACATAATTTTAAAAATTTCAAATTAATCATTTGGATTCTGTGATAAATCTGAAATGATAAGATAATTGTTAAATTGTTAAATTAACAGTTATAAATAGTTGATATTTTATAAAATATTTGAATTCTTAAATAATAAGTGTAAATTGCTTATAAACTATTCTTATTCTAAAATGTTCTATTGATCGGAAAAAACGTTTTTAAGAAAAATCATTCACATAAATATTTCAAAGTTATTTGTGCCAAAAAATGTGGTTTTTAACATAACAATTCTGATATTTTATTAATAAAAGAAAGAGAAAACATAATGTAATTTTTAACGCTCTTATTATTAAGGCACTTATTTGCATGTAATTAAACTTAATAATCATAATAAATTGAGCATTGAAATAAGGTAACCTATTTAGAATAATGGCATTTTTAAAAAGTCATAATAAATTGTATGCCAAATTTTAGAAGCAAACAAAGAAAATTTTGTATTCTGGCTAGGTAACAACTGTGAAAAATAATAATTGTACAATTATTAAGTAATAAAAGTTTAAGGCAATTATTTTATATATAAACATAACCATATTTCTGCGGGTAAAATGAACTTATAATTGGTATAATGGTATTATAAGTTATCAGCAGAAATATTTTCATTGGATTGGTATATGTACGGTTGATATAATGTGTGAAGATATTTTGAAATTCTGTTACCATAACATTTCTACCCTTAAATTTGCTTATTTTGGGATAATAAAACTCTTATAAATTCAAAATATTTTTATATGATAACCAAAATATTTAAATTATTTTCAAACTTAAGACGACGTAACTGGCATAACACTAGCATACCATTTTACTTGACATTTTACACTATGCTATTAATATAAAATATTCGTCCTTATTATGGCAATATTATGAGTTATGGCATTTGCAAATATTTTAATTATTTTAATTGCACGTTGAAAATTCAAAGGATTTTGTTTAAAATTTTGTTGTAAAATATCTTAAACAAAATATATCGCTTATACTCGTATAAATACTATACTAATGACTAATGTAGCCACATATTTTTGGTAAGATGTACAGCTTGAAGCTAGTACAATTAAGATTAGTAGAATTAGTACAGATTAAACAGCTCTACATAAAGTATTGTGAATTTTTAACAAAGTTATCCGTATGATTTCGTTTTAGCAACATTTTACATGAAAGTTTTTTTGGTGGGAATGCGAAATAAACCCATATGAATGTAAATGTAAGGCATATAGGGAAATTTTCTTAAAATTTTAAGTTCTGAAAAATTGTTTTGAGCTACTGACGGTAACATAGTAGATGGAGATGTTCGCACATTCCTATTTTCATAGCATAAGTCGATGAATTTATATTTTATTTCTCTCATTTATAATAATCGGAATTTATCGGATCGGAAGATAAAAGTTGTTTATGTATACTTAAATTAGCTTGTATGCTGAATTTCCTATGAATTTTTATTAATGATCATCAGTGAGTCTGTGAATTGTGATTTTTTTTAGATGCCACTAAAACCTAAAATCCATCAGGTTTGCATCTTTCGCCCAGATTCTATCTTACGATTTTGTTTGCGTGGTATAATTCCAACCCAAGTTATGAGACCTCAAAAAACAAAACTACAAAATGTTATTTATAGAAAAAGTAAGTAGAAGTATTCCTATACTTCACTTTCCTTGGCTCGTCTTGACTAAATTTTTAATATCTCTACCTTCCTTAGCGCTATTCACACCCCGTACGTTCAATTACCAAATTTTAAAGTTTTAAATTAAATTTATTTATAAAGTTTTTGTACATTTTTGTAATATTTTTTAAAAAAATTGCAATTGTTAGTATTTTTTACAATAATCTTAAGTAAAAATTTTAACAAATCTGTCCAAGCTTTAGAATCCGAACGTTAATTTCTAATATTAATAAAATCACTCATATTATTCAAAAACAAATATAATTTGTTTCTTCAATATTTCAAAGGTTTCTTTATTCTTATCGATTTATTTATAACACTAACAATATATTTAACACCTTGTTAAAATTTAACACCATTTTCAAATTTGTTTTTAATATCAATAAATTTTTACCAAAACAAGAACTAAGAAAACCAAAAAACACGATTTCAAATAAATTTTCAATTTCTGCTATAAAGTCAAATTAGTTAAGAGTGCCCAATTTTAAGTGGTTGTGGCCTAATAAATTCTTGTAGTTCTATTGTTATTTTCTATAAAATTTATGAGATAAAAATATTCTAATTTTGACTATATATTTTTGCTAATTTAAGTAATAATTTACTTACCATTAATAAAAATATTAAACAACAAATTTGGAACAAACCTCTAAGAATTTGAAATAAAATGAAAAAGAGAACGTAAAATTGAAGCGCCTCTAACGGAAATTTTATTTCTAATTTAATGTAATGGCGATTGTTTTGTTTTTTCATTTTTTTCTTTTCAATTTCAATAAATTTTCTTTTCAATTTGGTTAATAACAATAATAATAACAATAAATTGGAATTTTATTTTTATAATCTAAAAATATTGGTTAAAAGGTAAATAACCAATAACAATAAGACATAAGCTTTAATGTTCCTTTTGTCATTTTTAGCGGGAATATTCGCGCATATTTGGTGTGAATTCACGGTTATTTTTTATTTTATTATTTTTATTGTTTTAAAAATATATGCTAATAGACAAATTTGTTTATTAAAAAAGCTGAAAATATTTGTTTTTTTGAAATGAATGCACATTAAATTAAATTTTACGTTTATGAGATTCTCGATTACATGGTAAAAGTTTCTAGTAGAAATGAAGGTTATACTTAAATAGGACTATGCCGTAAATAGAGCTAAATATGGAAATTTTCACGAGTAATCATAATTAAGAATTTGATATTTAATGAAATTTTATTAAGTGATTTATAAGCATTTCTTTTCAATAAAAAATTTATTGTTAATCCAAAATGGAGAAAAAAAAAACAAAGTTATCCAATTATTTTTCGGATATAACTTTTCATATACAACCATAAATGCGGAAATATTTGTATATACATAGATATTAAAAAGTTTTCGACCATTAAAATAAAAATTTCTTATTTAACCTTAAACAATAGAAAAATTATTAGAAATAAGGTAAATTAAATTCAAATTATAAATTTTGACAGAAAATTAATATTTTAAAGAAGTTTTTTGATAATTTTCGGCCCCGTTTTTCAGTTATGCAACTCAGATGACTGCCAAATTTTAAAAATTTATAGATATCTATAGAGATATAATTATCTTACCTGATTTTATATCAGGATTTGAAAATAGAAAATTGAAATTTACCCGATTTTTGTATAGCTGTAATGGTAGGCACATTCAATATTCAACTTTCAGCCCAAATTTTCAGTCGTTAATGACCTAATTGAACAATCGTTTAATACTTGCAACTTAAATATAAAGTTTAATAAATAATTAAATTAATAATCCCAAATAATATAATTCTTGAACATAAATAACACCAAAATTAAAATTACCCAGAGTTATTTAAAATAAAATTTAGTCCAAGTTTTTCTCAATACCATCCAAAATACCTTAGTATTTTTTTAATAAAAATATTAATATGACATTTTGTAAACGTGTGCACAATTATACATATATTTTGACTATCCTGAAAGTCTTAATGAAATGGCTGCAGTGATTCTAATGTAGTTGTCATACAGCTTTAAAAGCTCAACTTAAATTATTTAATAGACTAGCCATTATAATCAGATTGTTATCGTGTAGGGTGAATTTGAGTTATTGAAGATCGACTGAAACGTTTTTGTTTAATTTAATCGAGTGTCTTTTGGTTTTGAAGGCGAATAGCCTTTTGAATTCTCAAATCTTTATTGCTATTAAAGACTATTCATGAAAATGATTAATATGTTAAAATTTAAATTATTTAAAACATGTAATTTACATTTATATATGGTTTTTCACACTTTTGCACTACAACGCCTTAAAGTAGGCAATGTTCGTTTGTTTTTTCTTTATATTAATTCTTGGTTTTTTCAATTTTGCTAGCTGGCTAGTTTTTAAATTAATAATCTAAATTCACAAAGAGAAAAAAAAAATCAAAATTAATGAGGAAATTTCAAAATATTTTTTAAAATTTCAAATTTTTGTGACAATTTTTTGACATTTAACATTCTTTTTTCTTATTTATTACCTGATATTTTTTTTTGCCATCTGTTTAATATTTTGTAAAATGTGTGTATATTTTTTTTTTCTTAATTTTTGAATAATTTATGATAAACAGTAATTGGATAGGTTTTTTTTTTATTATTTTATTGTTATCATTGTTGAAAATTATGTTCTACGAGTATAAAAAGTTTCTTATCTTGTTTTTTTCAGTTTTTTTATTATTTTGTATATTTTAATATTTGCATTTTTAATAGAAATTAATTTTAAATAATTTATGTTTTTTGTTTATTTCTGTTTTTGTGTTAATAATAATAAAAGTAAATAATATAAGAGTGAGAAAAAAAAATATTTTTATTGTATTGCTATTATAGTTGACCTAAAATCGCTATAATCTACATATACTCGTATATTGACGGTTTAGTGCTTGTTTCGGGCAAACGCCATTTAATTTTTTTAATGTTTTTTTCGTATTAAGCATGTTTTTTAGTATTTCTGGGGGTGATTTTTCATAATTTCAAACTAGATTTGCCCTGTATTTAAAAAGTGTTGGAATATTTTATTTTTCAACGCAGAGTATAGTTTTAA